TTTTTTTTGCAGCACTCAAACAACGACGAGCGATCGTGGTTTAGACTCGTTAAACACCAAGCTTCACTTGTAAGTAGGGCAACACACGATCTGAGCAGCTCGCGAGCCGCTCGCGAGGGCTCGAGTCAAAGCTCGGCCAGAGCTCGAGTTTGACCGAACTCGAGTCGAGCTCGAGCTCAAATTTTACCTTGTCGAGCGGCTCGAGATTATGTTAAATTACAAAAATACCCTTATATATATGTGCATCTTAATATTAATATATGTACTTAATGATAATTTTACAAATTTACTTGAAAAATTTCGAACCGAACTCGAGCCGAGCTCGAGCATTATGAAATCGAGTCGAGCTCGAGCTCGTATTTGTTTGTCGAGTCGAGCTCGAGCATCAAAAAATCGAGCTCGACGAGCTCGAGCTCGAACTCGAGCAGCTTAAAAAAAATAATCAATCCTGCTCGATAAGGCCAATGCTCGACTCGGCTCGGCTCGTTTGCAGCCCTACTCGTAAGTTACCAAACTTATTTACTTCCAGCCAATTGGTTCTTTACAATTTCAATTCTAATTTTCTTTTCAATCCCTATGATCGTAGCTAGCAAGATGGTCTACTTTACGAGCACTTCTATTTGGGAAAAGAGATATCTAGTAGTCCTCGACACCAAACACCAATCGCTAGAGAAAGGGACCCGCTTTGCAGTCGAAGACCCAATCATTGGTGATTTTTCCAAGACGTGGCCAAAAGTTACAAACTCCATGAGCGAGTGGATTCAAGAGTGTGCCTACGGGAAGTCCAAAGCATGGATCTTGCAAGCGACTCACCACAACCAGCAGAATGAGACAGAGACGTCACTATTACCATCTTTAGGACGACGCATCACACGAGGTGAAGCTTCATGGGGAGAAACCATCAACTTTGACGGCGAATTCCACTACACGCGAGGATACTGGGAGTGGACTGAAGACATACTTAGCCGATGCAGAAGCAACCTGATCAAGGCAGAGATTTATGATGCTGTTTACGCCTCGCTTTTCACCTACGACTGCAATCCTGAGATCATCAAGTCATTCTGCGAGGCATGGTGTCCTTCTACTAACACACTTTTAACGTCTTCCGGGGAGCTTTCAATATCGCTATGGGAACTACATATATTGGCGGGACTTCCATCGAGTGGGTTTATTTTCGACGAGGTGGTGCCGGATGCAAACGAGTTGGTTGGGATCAACAAAGACAAGAATTTATGCCTCCCTCGCTGCTGCAGATACCTTTTCCACGCCTATCATTTATTGTGCAAAGAAACCGGCGACATACAAGTGTCAATCGATCGATGGGTGCAATTTTGGTCGAAGAAGGCCATCAAATACAGACAACCCCCCAATCGTGCTGACAAGAGGAACGGAGAGAAGAAGAGGATACTTCGCCTCAAGTCAACCTATAATCCGCCCGGCACCTTCGAAGAACATCGACGCTGGACCTCCGCCGAAGATCTATTGTTCAAGAAGATGGTCGTGACCAAGCCAAAGCTACAAGAAGAAATTCATTTGGCGGTCTACCTATCATGTTGGATATGCACATTCGTCCTTCCTAACGGCGATGTCGACATAATTCGTCCGGGCACCTTCAAGATGGCAAGCATGATGGTCAAGGGTCAGACGGTCGGTCTCGCAATTCCGGTGTTGACTAGAATCTACAAGGGGCTGAACGAGTTTACAAGCTGCATAAGTCCATCTCGATCGATTTTTCCCGTCCACTTTGTTTAAGGCTGGCTGACACTCTATTTTAAAACTCACTTCGCAATTGGTCAAACGCGCAAGCCCATGATGCTGACATATTCTAGTGAGAACGGCGCAAGACACTTCGAGCCTGAGGAGGCCCGCAGATGTATCCACAAGGGGGACTCCGCTTTATGGACTTGCAATATCATCATCAAAGACCAGACTTCCCGATATGTCGATGATCAACGAAGACCTGGATACGAATGGAGGTACTTCATGGAGATTCGGTCTAACCACCTAACGTGGCGTCAAGGCAATCACTTTTTTATAGAGCCATATAGTCCTCATCGATTCAGTCCTCAATTTGGGTATTATCAAGATGTTCCTGGCATTTTAAAGAAAGACTTCCGTGAGGGCTCTCTTGATGACGGAATTCACTATTGGCAACTGAGCATTCTATGTGGATCCTCATCCAAAGCTTCATTGCCTTGTGCCTCAACAAATGCGAAGAAATCAACACCAGCTTATAAGTCATGGTGGCATAAAGTTCATGGAGGCTATGTTGAGCGCCATATAGAGGATTTACTTGCACCAAAACCGAACGTGATATCTTCGAAAGACAAGGAGCTAGTTGTTGACCTGGGTGATTCTGCAAGTAAAGATGATGATGCGCTTCTCGCCAGAATTCTTGGGACCAACAAGAGAAAGAGTGGGTCCACCTCTTTAGTAGACAGTAGCAGTGCCGACCATCATTGGAAGAGAGCAAAACGAATGTCTGGTTCCCAGCAGCACGTGGAGAAAACAGTCGAAAATCAACATAAGACAGAGGACCTCATTGCTAAGGTTTTCTCAAGTCTATCTCTTTTTCTTTACTTCTATCTCGAGTTTTCTTTCTAATTGATATATGTATTTCATTTCTGTTTTTCAGGCTCAACGTCTTTAGTTCTGACGATGACGAAGAGTCTCAAGACAATGAAGCGACTTCTGTAGCAAATGTTCCAGCGTGTGCGAAGAAACCTACTGCTCAACAAAATTTTCATACTCCAGCCGCTTCAGAGTTTAAAAGGGAGAAGTTCATTCATGACCGTCAAAAGAAGTATCTCCAAGGCATGCGGCACGACCTCCGTGACAAGGTCATGGCGACTCCTATTGACTCCTTGTCTTCCATGAAAGAAGAGGTGTCACTCGTTTTTGGTGCTATGAGGCAATGCGACAAGTTTGACTTTTCCACTATCGAGAGCTCATTGAAGGTTTTGTTTGACAACGCCGACTCTTATGACAGAGTAAGGTCTAAATCTTCGGAGATGGCGACGAAGGAACATATTGCTCGACAATTGGCTGAGGCTAAAGATCGTCTTTGTGAAGATAAGGCGAAGGAGGATATTGAATCAAATCAAGTGAAGTCCACTCAGGATGAGCTAAAGCGAGTCACGGAAGAGCTTGAGCAGTTGAAGACAAAGGCAGAAACACTATCCCAGACATTGAAGCAGCAGCAGGAGTCACTCGACAGTGCCAAAGCCCAGGTGAAATTAACTCAAGAGAATATCCTCGCCATCAGCAGTGCTCCATCGTTAGACGAAGAAGTGGTTGAATAGTAGAAGATGTTGAAGTCAAATATGAAGGCGACTAAAGAGAAACTAGGAAGCTTGAATCCTTTTGCTTAGTGATGTTTGCGACTCTTTTGCTTATTTCTTCATGTAATAAGACTCAAGGTTATGAAATGGAACGATTTGTTTCTTTTTGCATCGTGCAATCTCAATCTCGAACATTAACATTTGTTGCACTTCATTACCTCGCCAAATCAATCAAAATTGACTAACATAATTTATGACTGAACTTAGAAAATATCTAAGCTGCCTACGTACCTTTTAAAAGGATCAAGTTATAACGTAGTTCAAAGTAACATGGATTTGTTTAGGGGGGAGGGGGTGTCGTACACAGTTTATACTCATGCGGGCCAGGAGTGACTATTCTTTAACTACTTTTAGACAAAGTAGAGTATTAGGTTTAACCACATAACACCTTAGTGGGAGAATTAACAGTTTAACCACGTATATTCGCATTGGTGGAGAATTTAGCAATTTAATCACATGCAAAGCTTTTTGGTGATTACCGTTCACAGTTTATACCCATGCGGGTCAGG